CCTTGTGCAGGCCTATAATTTGAATGTGTGACTCTAGAAATTGTTGCTATGGTGATAAACCACTTTACTTAAATAGCATGTATTTTACTCAAAATTCAGAGAAATGCTAACAGTTTCTAGTAATCATGCACTGGTATTAACTTGCAGGGATATGCCTAGAGCTTACAGGTTTTGCATCCATTATCACCAGATAAGTTCATCAGGTTAAAGCTATGCCAGTGAATAATGAAATATGCATATTTAGTCCAATTTTCTTGTTACATATCTCCCCTTGCACACATGGAGCCCCCTTTTCAAGATTAATAATATGAGCTAGAGAAATTAGGCCAAGGGTACTGAATTACAAAAAGGTGAAACTGGAGGGAAGCTTGTAAGGTCATCTTTTCCATCATTCTGCCTCCAATAGAACTGACTATTCTTCAACTGAACCAAATGGTAAGAATTTGTCAGAGATGAAGAACAATTGAAATGCTGCTTGCGGCAACCCTTGATGTAACCATCCTGACTGACTGCAGCACTCAGAGATGCTGTCTACCTCCACAGTGCTGAAATATGCCCCCTTCTTTATTTTATAGATTTGGATTATATGTAGCCTCTTATTCTTTATCTTTTAGATTGAAGAGTGCTCTTAAAGAGAAACCTCTACCCCTTAATCATATTAGTAGCCTGTCTGTAAACATTCTCTGGTCTCTTTATATCTGTTCAAGCTGGTTGCAGTGTTTCAGGTATGAATTCATCATGATTTTATAGAAGGATAGAAAATTTTTTCTTTGATTTCTAAAATGCTTTTTGATGATAGCTAGGTTTTTCTGACCAGTGTGCAATGGTACATTAGACCAGTATGTTCAAAGAACAGCCTACAGTGCTTTTTAGGTCTTCTCTTGGATTGGCAAATATATGGCCAACAGTCTCATAATGATCATTTAGGATCTTTCTCCTTAGAACTCAGTATTGAAATTCCTCTGTTATCTTTCACCCTCTTTGTACAATCTTATGGGAACTCATCACCTTCTATTTGCTTTTCCTGACCTGGAAGATCTTATAGCTTTGGTAATTTAATTTTTCATTTCTCTGTTCTATTACTTACAAAACTATAAAATTGCCTCAGTGACAATAGATTCCTGAGGAATCCCACCAGCTCTGAGAGAAGAAAAGGAGAAACACAAAACTTAAGTAATCTATAACCTAACAAAATAAATCTCTGAAAAATTAAGATTTTTTTCATGTTTCTAGATAAAGGTTGAAAGCTGGAATTTGCCTTGGCCACTCCAGGAACTAAGAGGCTTGGCTCTTTGTGAAGAAAACTATGGCCTGGCCTGGAGGGCACCATGGTGGCCATTCTGCATCTGTGTTCTGTTAGCATCAGAGAATGGTTGCATTGAGGGATATTTGAGGGGAGTCTCAGACTCCTTTAGAAAAATTATTAGAATTCTGCTTCCTAAACAATGGCATCCCAAACATTGTACAACTGGAATTTAGCAAAGAGAAATGGTAAGGTACACCTACACATACAGTATTTTACAAGGCAAACCCATATACGCAGAAGCATAAACATTTGCATAAAGGTAAGTAGATTTGAACTGATGTTACCATGGAGTGAAGGAGCAAATACTGTGATTTGTTTTGGTGCAGCCAGCATTAGGCTGATTTGGGAGCTCAATTAAAATGTGGATGACTTTTATTAGTTTTAACATGTATTTAAAAAACCAAATTGACAAAGAGATAAGAAAACAGGTACTCTTATATGCTACTGGTAAGATTATACATTGGTACAACTGCAGTGGAAGGCAACGCGATGATTTCTTTTCTTTTTCTTTCTTTTTTTTTTTTTTTTTCTATATGCCAGCACCTTGATCTTGGAGATGATATCTTTCAAAATTACAAATTTATATCCCATTTAAGCCAGGAATTTCACTTCTAAAATACATATTCTGTAGAAAACTTACACATGGCAAAATGACATGTGCAAAATGTGCTAGCAAAAGATTGGAAACAAACCTGAGTGTTTATTGTAAAGGGACTGGTTAAATAAATTGTGGTACTTCTAAACAAAAGAATATTGCATAGCCAGAAAAAAGAATGAGGACTTTTTCTTTCTATGAATTGACTGGGAATGATCTTCAAGATAATTATTAGTTGAAAGGAGTCCAGGTGTAAAAGAGTGTTTATAGTCGGCTACTGTTTCTGTAAAAGTGGGGGAAGAAAGCATGTCAATAGATGAATGTATTTGTCTGTTCTCATGCTGCTAATAAAGACATACTCAAGACCGGGCAATTTGTAAAGAAAAAGAGGTTTAACGGACTCACAGTTCCACATGGCTGAGGGGGCCTTACAATCATGGCGGAAGGCAAAGGAGGAGCAAAGACACGCCTTACCTGGCAGCAGACAAAAGAACCTGTGCAGGGGAACTGCCCTTTATAAAACCATCAGCTCTCGTGAGACTTATTCACTGTCACACAAACAGCACAGGAAAAACCTGTCCCCATGATTCAGTTACCTCCCACTGAGCCCTTCCCACAACATGTAGGGATTATGGGAGCTACAATTCAAGACAAGATTTGGGTGGGGACATAGCCAAACTCTATCAATGAATTAGATTGAACCATAGGAAATTGCCATTATTAGACTGTTGTTTTTGACCTGCAACCAACAGAAATGACAGTGGAATGACAACCACTTCCATTTGGTCCCACCTAATGGATAAAATCTCTCTGGAAGCATACACTATAATTGACAATATTGGTTGTCTTTGGGGGTAGAGCTCAGTTAACTAGGGGGACAAGGAGATTTTGAACATTGTGAATATTAAATCATGGGGATATACTATCTAAGAAATAACTAAAATTACAAATAAATATGGCTGAGGAAAAGCATTTTCTTATCTTACTACAAAATGAAACAGAAATATCATATTTCTACACCAAAGCAACTAAACATTTTTGGTTTGACTTTTCCTTCCACTTTGCCAGAAGACTTTAATAATGATCTTAAGATGTTGTATTTAAGAAGAAAATATGAGCACCTATAGAGTTTTTGGGGAAAAAAAATTCTACATCAATAATTCCATTCACAGAGACTGTTTCTGAGTATTTCTTCCTGGTGACTGCAACTCCTGAGACTACTGTAATGACTCAACTGCATGAACAAATGGAGAGTGAAGAAGAATGGAACTGTTAAGCCAGATAGGAATATAAGCACACTAAAAGGCAAATGAATCTTTATTCCTGCTCTGCGGAATATTACTTGTAGTGGACATGTGGAAAACTACTTCCTCAACAATGTGGATGATAACTGAAAATCCAAGTAGAAATATCAAAAGAGAGAAGGTTATACTTAGATTCACCTTATAATATGATTTGTATGTAAAGGTAATTAAACTTTATGAATTGAAATTTTCAAGATAGGGTGTATATCTTAGAGACCAGCACTGTACTAAACAAAGCAACTTGTTCTTAGCCAGTGTTCGAACATCAGCGGTATTGTATCCTCACCTTATCACCGAACCTAAGGAGTTTTCATTAAGAATACAACCTATGTGAAGGAATACTAAAGAATTTTAAATATTTTCTACTGCTTAAAAGAATACACAGAAGCAACCCAGAAGTTTTTCTGGGGGGAAATAACTAGCAAAAATGACCTTTTTACATTTCAAATTTTATACAAATTAAAATTTTAAGGCACAAGATGATTTTTAAGTATTACCTGCTTAAGAATTAGCATATGCTGGTTATAAAATAAGACATGAGTGATGTTCTGAAGAGGTACACTTTAAGGGCTGTCTTTGGTAAACAAAGATCAGGAAGATTTTGTTTCTTGAAGTATAGGTGTTGAAAGCCTTACAGGACCCAGAGTTTTACTGCAGCCCTGGGAAGTCATGGATTCACGAGGCAAACATGTATCAAGTGCTACTACTGGATATAAAACATGGTCATTACATCACAAGAACCTGAATGATCAAAGAAACACTAGATGCATTTATTTTGTGTTACATGCCATCTTTTCACACTCTTTGAAAATTGTTCACCTGATTTTTAACCCAAGTGTGCTGTGACTTTGAGGTAAGGAGAATATTAAACTTGTGAGCCCTTTCCTCGATCATTCTATTTAAATCAGAACTTCTGTATCTCTACCCCAATGGCTTGGCCTCTACGCTGCTTGGTGGGTCTCCTGAGACAATCTCTACTCTTTTAGAACTCTATGTTCCAGCTTCACTTAATTAAAAGTGATCACTTTAAAAATGGGCCTAAGTCAATATGGACCCTGCCTCCCTCATGACAGCAGGATTGAAGACCACTTGTTCCTTTACTGTGGAATGAGGCGACCTGAGAAAATGCCGTTGCCTGTTAAAACCCCATCTGCTTGCTATCTACCGTAAAGCTCACACAGTATTTTCATGGCCACACTTCTCTTCATTCTCATGGTAACCTCTTGTGGCAAATATGCAAATATTATTTGCCTCCACTTAAGGGCAAGGAATAGAGAGGCTTGGAGAGGTCTCCAGACCTGCCCAAGTGGTGTGACTGGGATTAAAAGCCAGTCTCTGGAATTAATGTGGGAAAATGGTGAGGATGTGAGTGTAGGCCATATGCAGCACTTTGTACCTAGCTTAGAAAGAATAATTATGTTACACTTGTCAGGGTATCCATACAAATGTCTGAGCTTGTGTAGAAATCTGTAAAGATGAAGTGAGTACAATTATGTCTAAGTGGACTTCCCTGCCAAATGTTACCAGACCATGTACTTACATTTTGGATGGCAGAGGTTTCAAAATTGAGCCTGTAGAGTTTGCTCCACACCAAACACTAAACAATTCCATTTTCTTAAAGGTGCAAAAGGATCTTCTGGCATTTAATACTGATTTTACAGTATGACTAGTTTGTATCCTGTGTCTAGAGAGTGCTCCAGCTGGCAGATCCTGGACAACTTTGTAGTTCCTTGAATCTTTGAATTGATGTGCATTGCTTTGTGTCTGAAAATTAATCAAGACCTTTTATTTGCAGTCTACAGCTTATGAAAAGCAATTTCCTGCGACCAGTAAGGACAACTTTGACATGTGCTGTTCAAGTTTCACATCTAGCAAACTCCTTCCAGCTGAACTCAAGGAAGAACTGGAGAAAACCCGTGTAACTCCAAGCCCAGGAACAGCAACCAAGTACACTGCTAAATCCACGGTCCTGTCTAGATCCAAAAAGAAACTCTAAGGTTCTCTCCAGAGCTGGACAGTACAAAAACAAACTGCTCTTGTTAGTACTCTGATGAGGGGGTAGGAGGGAAGAGCTTGTAGCCTGTTAGCACTGCAGAGCCCTGCCATGTGTTTGCATCAGCTTAAAATTGAAGCTAGTCATTGCCAAAGCAGTGTAAGCTGCACGCGACATTAAAGGACAGCCACCAGTGGGCTTGGCAGTGGGCTGCAGCTGAAATCAATTCAAGGTGTATGCGAATGTTTTTTAGGAGGGCAGATATCCTCAATTCAAGACTCTGGGCACATTGCTCACTTTTACTTCAAATTCTTATGTTTAGGCACAGTTATTTACAGGGGAAAACAAGAGGCCAAATATGGTAATGGAGGTTCCAAATAATTATGTGCACTTTGCACTAGAAGAGTTTGTTAGAAAATTACTAATAAACTTGCCATAGGTATTACAGCAGAAGTGCTTCAGTCATTCACCTGTGTTTGTGAGATTTTAGGTTGCTATAGATTTAAGACAACTTATTTTAAACGTAAAAAAAATAGATTTTGTAACTGCTTGCCATTAACTTGCTGCTAAATTCCCAATGTATTGATTGAATCAATAAAAAACAGATGTTACTCAGCACATTAATTTTTATGTTAACAAGAGGTGAATATGATAAGATCCTCTAAGCCTTGATGCAAATTATAAGTTTGGTCTACTGCTGCAGTGGTCGGCGTACATCTTTGGGGAAGATACCTAATTTCTCTTGGCATTATAGGCATCCTCTTTCCACCTGAGTAACTAATTTTGCTAGTTGAAGTCAAACTGGGTGAATACCTGCTTTTCTTTCTTCCCAAGAAAATTCTAAAGAAAGAATTTGCAATTGCTTTTACCTTCATAAAGCCATAACCTAGTTCCATTCCAAACCCCCATGGAATGGTCAGTTAGGTCTCCAAAATGGCCCGCATCTGGCCAGCTGAGCATATACTAGTTGCATTTATAGCCACTTGATGACTAAAAAGCAGTATACATGATTCTGAATGAGTCAAAGACAAGACTGGCCTCTGTTGCCCCAAGTGGTTCTGCCTGTACTTTCTTAGTACCTTCAGTGTGCTTCCCCTTGGGGAACCTGCTGATCAAGGCAGATCTAGTGTAAATTGTCTGTATTTTATTTTAAACTGGCATGAACAGAGCTGCTTCAAGATCTTCCTCCCTTCTTGATGACTACTTCCAGTCACATCAGAAGCCTATAAACCATATCCCAAGCTTTAAGCTTTCTTTCAGGGTTTAGTGAGCCAGCCTTTAAAGGATGTGTTCTGTTCACCTGATGAGAACTCTGGCCTCATTAGCTAAGTGGAGACGTCCCTTCCCTGATAGTATCCTAGAAGGCAGATATGAGCACTGCATTTCTGTCACCTCTGGCAGGGAAAAGCTGGGACCTAGTGCACAGTGGCTGCTTGTCTCCTTGCAGAAAAGCTAACCAAGATGGTGGGTTTGATTCTGCCTATTCCCTGGGCCTGAAAATGAAATATTCTCTATATTCAAAATACTCTTACTTTCACAGTGATGCTCTTTTTGGATTAGAAGAGCCTGTGGTTAAATAGAGTACTATCAACATTTCTCGTGGCCCTAAAAATCAATGATTGTGCTCAGTAAGCTTGAGCAAAGGTTTAGAACTAACCACTAACAAAAAGATGAAGTCATTTTGTAATACATTAGTGTGTTTTCACCTTTTCCCACCTCAGACCATGCAAGGCCAACCACCCTGCCTGCCATACGATGCATTCTGTTAGCACCCCTCCATTGAGACGTTCATTTGATTTGTAGGAATTGTTTTAATAGGAATTTAGCTCACTTTTTCTAAAGAGTATTTCCACATCATTTTGATACTTAGTTGTATTTTTGTCACTTCGTTGTGTAGATCATGGCTGGACCAGGCCATGTCTGAGCTTTGTCCAGCAGATGTGCCTCTTTAAGTTCTGGGGATATAGGGCCTTCCTCCTCCATTTGCTTTCACAGCTGTGAAAAAAGGCACTCTCCCATTTCAGATTGACTTTCAGTGACTGAAAGGCCAACGAAGGAATGAATAACAAACACTGTATCACCTCCTGTGCTCCCTGCAAAGGGAGCTGGGTTTTGCTGTGACCCAGCAGGACACAGTCTGTCTAGGACAGCACAGAGCAGGTGTTATTTTCAAGAAATGCAAGTAGTGATCAACATTCCAACTGGAGTAATAGATAAGGCAGGCAAAATGTGATAAAAAGAGAGAGATGCAGCCGAGCTGGGGACAAGTTCGTTTGAGGACAGTAGAGGATGATATCAGAGAAGGCCTTAAATTGGAGAAGGAAGGAAAATGGGAATATGTAAAGCAAAATGAACATAAATTATAATTAATAGAGAAGACAGGATGGTAACACATGGTTCTGCCAAAGCTGGAAGCTGGAGCGAGAGGAGGGAAGCTCCGCTCATAGAATATTTGTTTGCTCCAGGCCGGTCTGAGGTGAAGTTAGCCCCTCCCTCAGCCGGCACACAGGCAAACCTAGATAAAGGCACAGGCTGAGGAAACAGAGACCCAGGGAAACAGAAGCTGAAATTTTAAGAGTCAGCCACAAAATCCTCCTTTCCTTTTGAGTGGAATGTTGTATGCTGCTACGGGGGCTGGGTGGGGGAACAGCCCAAAAAAAATCAAAACATTTTGTGCTTATCGCTGAAATGCTTTCTTTAAATAATTCTATTTGACTCCAAAATGTAAGTTCCAGGTTAGACAGATCAAAAGCAACCAGTCTTGAAAATGAAGCTTTTTAAATTCCAGCCCTGCTGTTGGAACAGAGAATAAAGGCTTTGTTTAAACATGCATTCCCAGCAGCAAGAAGAGCTTTGAAATTGGCCAGGGAAGTAGCGTCTTATAATGGCTGTGCTTGGCTAGAGACCAAGGAGCTGTGGCCTCTGGGAAATGACCCTGGGCTGGATATTTTCTATCTGCCCCTCCAGAACCACTGTGCCTGCTCTGCCCTCTCTGCTCAGAGAGGCTGATCTTCAGGGACTGCAGTAACATGCTCCCTGGGCTTCTGGATTTTTTGGGATTCTGTCAATGCAGGCACCAAGGGGAGAGCCAGGTCCAGATGCTGACCCCCGCCCCCGCCCCCCGGTGCCTCCCTGCTCTGGGCCAGGCTGCTGGGCATTTGCTGCCTTTTTCTGTGGGTATGGCTCCTGTCGGACAGCCCTCTTGCAGCTGTGTCCCCTGCCCCTGCAGGCCAAGACCAACCTATTGCCCTGGCTACCATGTTTTCCTTTGTGAGTTTCCCGAAGCCCTCCCGTTGCCTTTATGAACAGTCTCTGTTAAACCCTCAGTGTCCGCATTTGAGTTTAGCGTCTGTCTTCTCCTGCAACTCAGGTGACTGAGACCCTTTCCTTATGAGTGTTACATTGTTCCTGAGCCAAGGTAGTTTTGTCTCTGGCTGCCAGTCTCCTGCCAAAGTACAGTAAAGGGCAAAAATCAGAAATGAGTTCTTCCTGGCGAAAAGAGATGTACCTGGGTGGTTGCTAGGGGTTGGCGAGGGGTGGCGGGGAGATGTTCCTGAGGTTGGGACCTAGGCAGAGCCAGATACATCAAACGTTGCCCGATTGAACCTGAAATCTGAAATTGGGCTCAAAGTTTGGGAGCATAAGGAATACAGCATTTTGCTGTGACAGCCAAGAGGACCTGAGAGGAGGCCACCCAATGCTGGCTGCCAGCTGCCAGTGAGGGACCAGGGAAGGGCTTCCAGGGGAGCCCACGGAGCCCGGGAAGCACAGGCAACGTGAAGACAAGACGCCTCCTGGGCTTTGTGTTTGCTTCATCACTACGAGCACTAAAATCACTTTACAAAAACATTTTAAGGTAAAAATTTTTACTATTCAAAGGTCTCACATTGTTCACTTGTACTCTTCAGGATCCTGCATTTTTCCGAGTGAGCTGGCTGAGAACTGATTCTGATTTCTGTTCAGTACATTGTTATCACTTAATTCTCATTGGTGAGCCAATTTTCTTTGCCTTTGTTCTTCAAAGTGAGGCTGCATTCGCAGCTGTCTTGCATTTTTGTGGCTGCCTTCTTCAGTCACTACTCTAATCAGCTCAATTCTGTGCTCACTGGGTCAGTTCTCTACATTTCCCTGAATAATCTGGGGCAGCCGTCAGAGGAGTGGCAGGGGTTCCCACCAGTGCCCCATCAGGAAGATTCACAGGACCCTTGCAGTGTCACCACAGCACTCTCAGGGACCTCCCCTTTCCTGTTGCCCAGGCACCTTAGCCAGATCCTGGACCACCTCCTCCAAACATGCATCAGGTTCTGTCCTGGCCCAGAGAACAGGACTAGAGGTGCCCTGCAGCTCCTGCCTCCATCCAGGCTCCTGCTGGTCCCTCTCCTAACTAAGTCCTGTGGCATCTTCAGACCATATCCAGGGCATTGATACAGGGGCCACACAAGTCTCCCTGCCCTTTGGGGACCAAAACCTCCCTGTTGGCAAGATCCTGAAGCCCAGCTATTCGTTAAGAAAGCCTTGCCTCAGTCAGCATAAAAAGTTGTCTCCATCCCCAGGAGCAATTGCAAGGCTGGAGGAGTCAGCATTCCCATGTGACTGAAGGGTGGGGCAGTTGGGACAGAAGATGGACAGCAGCTGACACCCTCCCTGGACCCTGAGGAAGATGCCCTTGCAGGGAGGTGGCAGCCAGTATTTCCTGGTCCAAATACTGACTTCCATATAGTTGCTAGAATCAAAGTCTTTTTGTAAGCTGGTCTTTGAGCTATAGTAGTGGACGGGATCTCTTTTAATTAAAACCTGCTTTCAGAGTCATGATATAACAGGAGCAACATTTACAGAGCACTTTCTACATGCCAGACACCATTCTAAGCACTCTACATCTATTAATTGTTTTCATCCTTACCACAACCTATGAGGTTGATACCATTGTTAACTCTACAGAGAAATAAATTGAGGCACAGAGAGATTAAGAACCATGTCCAAGGTCACACAGCTAAGATGTACCAGAAGGAGAACCAGGACCCGGCCAGTGGGCTCAAGTGTCACTGTTGTACCACATGCTTCTCAAGGCATTCAGAGTCTTGCTCCCCTACTCTTTAGGCCTGAGCGGCTATGAAGTTTGATCCCAGAGTTTCAAAAGGCCGAGCAACTCACAAACACCTCTGTCTCCAGCAGTAGCCTAGCGTAATAATTTTGACAAGTTTGGGGCTTGAGATTTCAGAAGGGAGTGGAATTATTTTGCATGTTGACAAATTTGGTCAAGACTCAAACAATCTATCAGGGAAAGTTGCATTCTGAAGGACTTTGTGTGATAAAAGTAAGTTTTCAAGCCTTTAACTGGTCTTTTTGTCTGGAGCAATCTTTAGAAGCCTTTGAATATGTTTTTAATAAAAGAGAGTAAAGAGGTTCCATTGCTTCCCCATGCATTCACAGGGACTGTCCTTTCTATGCAGACATGACAAATCAATGCTTACCGGGAGCAAAGTGACTCCCATCACAGGGCAGGTAGGGTTAGAATTACTATCATGTTTTGATTTCCCACATCCCTTCATCAGGTGGTGTGGGCAGGTGTACCTGCCGCTGAGCAGGTGGGGTTCAGATGTGCAGTCCACCTCCGCATC